CGGTCCGGATAGAACAATTTCGACCCATTTGCCTGCTGAATGTGAGTTTCAAAATCTTCACAAAGGTTGGAACCAATAGATTGACAAAAATTGCTCACTCAGTGATTCAACCTAGTCAGACAGCTTTCATGTCGGGACGACACATACTCGAAGGAGTAGTTGTCTTACATGAAACTCTTCATGAGATTCACTGGAAGAAACTAGATGGGGTTATCTTAAAAGTGGATTTCGAGAAGGCTTATGATAAGGTAAAATGGCCTTTTCTTCAGCAGGCAATGCGCATGAAAGGTTTTAGTGAAACCTGGAGGCACCAGGTGGATACTCAAGTCCAGAAGGGTAGTGTCGAAATTAAGGTGAACGATGACATTGGTCACTATTTCCAGACGCATAAGGGGCTGCGACAAGGGGATTCCATGTCACCTCTTCTGTTCAATATTGTGGCAGATATGTTGGCCATCATTATTGGCAGGGCCAAGCAACATGGGCATGTAGAGGGTCTAGTTCCTCATCTGGTTGATGGAGGGGTGTCCATTCTACAATATGCTGATGACACTATCCTTTTCATGGAACATGACATGGCTAAGGCACGTAATATGAAACTTATCTTATGTCTATTCGAACAATTGTCTGGCTTAAAGATCAATTTCCATAAGAGCGAGGTGTTCTGTTTTGGGAAGGCAAAAGACAAGGAACACACTTACAGACAATTGTTTGGATGCGAGTTAGGTGCCTTACCATTCAGTTACTTGGGTATTCCGATTCATCACCGTAAATTATCTAATAAAGAACGGAAAGTAATTGAAGAACGAATCAAAAAAAACTCAGCTGCTGGAAGGGTAAGTTGATGTCATATGGGGGCCGATTAGTTCTGATCAACTCAGTACTAACGAGCATGCCAATGTTTTTACTTTCGTTCTTCGAAATTCCGAAAGGGGTCCGAAAGCGACGTGATTTCTTTAGATCTCGATTCTTTTGGCAGTCTGATGAGGCCAAGAGGAAATACCGTCTCGCGCGTTGGGATATCCTTTGTCGACCTAAAGACCAAGGGGGTCTCGGTATTGAGAACTTGGAAATTAAGAATAAATGTCTTATGAGCAAATGGTTGTACAGGTTAGGGACAGAGCCGGAGGGCATGTGGTCTCAAATCCTGCGCAATAAGTACTTGCACTCGAAAACGCTAGCACAGACTACCACCAGACCAACTGATTCACCATTCTGGAAGGGACTTATGCGAACGAAGGATCTGTTCTTTCGTAGGTTCAAATTCTTGGTTGGCAACGGGATGTCAACGAGATTTTGGGAGGATACATGGTTAGGAGAGACACCCTTGGCCTTACAATATCCTACCCTTTACAATATTGTGCAACGTAAGAAAGATTACATAGGTATCGTCCTTCAAACTATTCTCTTGAATATCCAGTTCAGACGTACGTTAGTAGGTGCGAGATGGACAGCCTGGTTGCACTTGGTCCGGAGATTGATTGAAGTTCGACTCTCCGACGTGCCGGATTCTACACAATGGAAGTTAACTAAAAATGGGATATTTACGGTAAAATCCTTTTATACGGATTTGATTAATTCTGGCCCCCTCTCAAGGTCACTTCATATATGGAAGGTTAAGGTTCCTTTGCGGATTAAAATTTTCATGTGGTTTGTCTACAAGCAAGTTATACTCACAAAGGAAAACTTAATTAAGAGGCGATGGGTAGGCAACTCGCGGTGTTGCTTTTGTGCTCAAGATGAGATAATACAACATTTATTCATTGAATGCCCACTTGCCAAATTACTGTGGAGAACGATTCGTATAGCTTTTGATATTAATCCCCCAATAGATATTGCGTCTTTGTTTGGGACGTGGTTGGCTGGAGTTGAACAGATCACGGCGACTCGTATTCAGATTGGAATATGTGCGCTATTATGGGCTATATGGAACTGCAGAAACGATATAATTTTTAACAGACAACACAACTTAACTTTTTTGCAGGTTATCTTCAGAGCTACAGCTTGGATCCGTACGTGGTCCTTACTCACTCCTATGGACTCCAGGGAGCCTTTGGTTACTGGGTGCAACCAGTGGGAGATGGTGGCTCGGGCTATATTCAACCGGTTCGGATGGCGTTCACATAACAGGATAGAGGGCTAGAGAGCTTGTCCTTATTATCACCGTATCGGTTGTTTGTTTTAGGCCCTTTCTATGTTTTTGCTCCGTTTGCGAGCTGTAAGACCTTTATGATGATACTTCTTGCATTTTTAATAAAAGGGGCTGCATGCATCATCATGATGCAGAGGCCGGGGGTATACCTCCATTTCCAAAAAAAAGAAGAGCACCCTGCACGTCCGAACACAGTATCTTCCATTGCATTATCAGTGAGCCCACCAAGTCCAGGACACACACATGCCTCGCCATTTTCGCCTCTGGAAGACAAAATCATTCCGAAGCAACCATAAGCCCCACAAGGTTGCAGAAGTAACCAAATTAACATCTTCAATTTTTTAAGATTATGTAGAGGTTTTAAGGATTCAAAAGAGCCAACCATGCGGACGCCATCTGAAGCCATTGCTCCGGAATCCACGTCCAGACCACCACCGTCCGTCCACATCATGGAGCACCAACCTCGAGAGGAGGAAAGAAGGGTGTCTCCTTCCCTTCCTAGCCCGGCATCAGTCACGGGATCTGGGTCGATGCCCCCCATAGTAGGGGGCGTCCACACTTGCGTTCCCAGGCAGTCTAGGTGGACCGGGGAGGGGGGACACAACCCCGTGACTCCCCACGGCCGCCGCGGCTCGCGCGGTGCCTCAACCGTGGTCACCGGCACCGATCCGCATGACAGGATATTGAAGACCCGACCATCACCAGCACTGACCACCGCACCCACGCGGGCACCACCCAGGCCAAGCCCAATCTCACCTACCCGGTGCATCCGCATCGACCCACCCCGAGCCCAAACCTAGCACACCCGAGGTGTCTTACCCTCATTGGAGGGATGCGTACGTGTTATATAGCAGGGGGGCTTATCCCTGAATATGCATACAAGATCGTTGGAGTTACATTCTTTTTTTTTGCTGGCGTTTGTGTTGTTTTGGGCTGTTTTTTTCAATGAGCACATATTTGGCTCAATCGATTCTTCAACGGGCCAAAGTGCATTCATGTGCGCTATAGCCTTTGCTCTTTGCTCTTTTATTTTATTTCTTTTGTTTTCCCTTCTTTATTAGTTGGTGTTAATGTTTTCTTTTGTGGGTATTCTTTGGATGTTGGGTGACTGTAAATATATGCACACAAATACTATAAAATATGTAGCAAAATTTATTATTATATGATTGTTCTTTTTATATTACAAAAAGTGCAATTTTGGGGTAAAATTGCGTGCAAGGTTTTTTGTTCCACTATCATATGCTTATTTTGCGTATATAGAAAAACGCAATAAATTGTGAGCAAAATTTCTCATTATATTATTTTATTGTTTTCATCTTTTCCTTCTTAAAGGGTAATACCAATGTCAATAATTCATTCATTCTTATAAAATATATTTTTATTTTTTGTGTGTAGGTATACGTGTACTTACTAAATAATATATGTTTAAATTATAGTAGAATACAAAAGTTGCAGTATTATATGCTTATTATTTATGTGCAATTCTAGTGCAACATTGTGTGCTTAAAGTTTTTTATTTTCTTTCTTCTGAAAGGGTTTCATTCTTCCTTAGAAAACTTCACCATTTTCATTTTGCTTTATTATATTATATTTTATTTTGTGTTACTTTTCATTTTTTTGTAAGGGTAATACCGATATCACTAACCCATTACTTTTTTGAAACACTCTCCCCCATTTTTTTGTTATTATATGCTTCTTTCTGCATATTATAAACATACAATTTATGTGTAAATTGTGTGTAAATTTTGTCATTATTTGTTTTAGTTTTTCATTTAAAGTTTTTAAAAGGGTAATACCAATCCCACAAACTAATTCCTTTTTAGAAAATTTCCTTTTTTGCATAAATTCCACTCCTATATGTTTACTCTTGTACACATTGCACAAAACGTAATTTTTCTGTAAATTGCATGCAATTTTTCCCATTATTTTGTGCATTAACTAATTCACTCTCCATTAGAAAACCTTTTATTTCATCAACGGGCTGTTGTTTTGCGTCGGCCCAAGAACTGTTGTGGGCTTCTATTGGTTTGGGCTGTTTTCCACAAAATCGACTGATTCTAAATTTGGGCCAGTCAATTCTGTTTGTCCGTTTGATCTAAAATTAAGAGCTGATCCAAAAATCGGCTGACCATAATTCATTTTAAGTCGACTAGCCAGCCCCATTATCATATACGACATTCTTAAGAGAAGACTCAAGTCACAAAATTTTTAAACTACTAAGCAATGTGTCCCACAGTGTCCACACCAATCCTTGAGTGTTAGGCTAAGAAAGTGGTAAGTTTGATGGAAAACCAAAACAAAATTTAGAGAAACATCTAAAAACGGAGCCCTCCCGCTGGCAAGGGCTGGCATCCACCACGCTCCAATGGCGCTAAGGCCGCTAGAGATGAGGCAATTACTCCCTCCGTCTCGCAATATACTATATATGTTATTACATCCAAAATATACGGCATAATACATGGCATTCTTAAGAGAAGACTAATAGGCTAAGGAAATGTGACTTTGATGGAACAGCACTAAGCAATGTGTCAAAAAAAAAGTGTCCACAGTGCACACCAATCCTTGAGTGTTAGGCTAAGGAAATGTGACTTTGATGGAACACCAAAGACCTGCCCCGGGAGACGAAACCAAAAGCAGATGAAAGCACACATAGGCATGCAAGAAAGGAACCATGTCCTTGCTTTCTTGCCCCCAAGGCAAAAGGAAAAATACCACTCTACGCAACCTCGATGCCACGTACACTACACCCATCGATTCCGACCCTTGGAATACATATATCTGCATATAGAAACACGTAACACATCGCCATCACATACACGGCGGCATACCAGGCCCTGTCCGGCGAGCCATGGACGTCCCCGGCGGCCGGGCGTACGGGGAGGAGCAGGAGGAGGAGCTGGACCCGGCGGTGGAGTGGAGGCAGGCCGGCGACGACCAGGACGTGGTGGAGCTCCGGCTGCCGGGGTTCCGCAAGGAGCACGTGCGCGTGCAGGTGGACAACTACGGCGTGCTCCGCGTCACCGGCGGCCGCCCCGCCCGGGGCGGCCGCTGGGTCCGCTTCACCAAGGACCTCCGCCTCCCCGACAACTGCGACGCCGACGGCGTCCGCGCCAGGTTCGAGGACGAGAAGCTGCTCATCAGCCTCCCCATCGTCCCCGGCGGTGAGGCGGACCTGGTACCCACGCCCACGCCGTCGCCCCCGGAGACACTGCCGAGGCCGGCGTTGCAGCCGCCGCCGTCTTCGGCGCCTCCTCCTCCACGCTTGCCTCCGCCTCCCGGGAAGCCCAGCTTCTTCGAGCCGAAGATCCGGCCGCCGGTGCCGCCGCCACGGGCGCCATCATCGCGTTCACGTCCACTTCCTCCGTTTCCGGCTGAGCCCCCCACGGTTTCCGAGCCAAAGCCGCCGCCGGCGAAGCCCGCTGCTTTCGAGCCAAAGCTCCGACCGCCACCGCCACCGCCACCGCCTCCATCACCGCCGCCAATATCACGCCCACTTCCTCC